TCTTTTTCTCAAATGTGCATTATATTGAGATTATTTGGATCAAAGCACATTTCCCATTTTTCTTCCACTTTTCACCTTTTCCTTTATAAATACAGAAGTGTGGAGGAATGCATTACAAAAGTATTATTTTCTTTTTAAAAAATGCAAATGATACCCTTTTTCTTTTCATTTTTTTCAGAAGCAGAAGCTTTCTTAAATAAGTGAAAGAGAGGAATATTATCAATATAACATAGGCTATTTCATATAATTAGGTTTCAAAAGTAAAGTAAAGCATTTAATCAAACAATTTCTTAGCAAGCCAAAGGTGTATTTTTATCTAGGAACTGGTGATTAAATAAGAATGAACCCTGTTAGTTTTAGCCCTGGAATAGCACTTTTTCAACTATTGACAGTTTTACAATCACATTTTTGTTCACATCATGTTTACCTACTGTTCTTTTAAACTTCTGTCTGTTCAAAAACACTATTGTGATCACTGTCAATGATATAGTGATTTGAAAACATGTTTCCATGAAACACAGGAATTTTTTTAAAAAAATCTTTAAAAACAGGAAGCTAGAATTCTGCTGGTTGCATAATCATAATAACAACACATAGTGCAGACAGTGGGGTGTGGCATTTATCACACCAGTGATGTAATAAAGAGGAGGAAAGACTTAGGCTTGGGTTCACTTTGTTTTTCACTAAAGCCTAAGATTCACCAGACAGCAAAAGAATTGAACAGCAAGGGGCCTCTAAGGAAGAATTTAGTTTTTTCTTCCTACTAATAGAGTATGAGCTTGAGAAAGTGAGAGAGGCAGACAGATGCATAGGATAAAATGAAAGCAATCCTCCTCATTGGAGGAGAAACATTGCAAAACAGACACTCTCAAGATCTAGTCTTCACCCAGAGTAAATCTTTTGTAAAACTAATGAATTCATTCAAAGCCAAATACTTTGAATTACAATGGGATGTAATCCACTCTCCCTGCAGTCACTATGAGAGCTACATTATTTTAAACATAGAAGAAAGCTGAGTGGAATGGCAGAATATATGACAATCCCTGCTGAAAAGTAAATCCATTTTTGGTTTAATCTATCTTGAATTTGAGACTAAGTATAAAACCTAACATTCAGTTAGGAAGGATCCCTGGATTGCAAGCATGTATTTCATATGAAATGTTTACCAGTTGATAAGGTGAGGAGACTCTATAGTGCTGAGTCTGGATATAGGCTCAACAGTTTGCTTAGTGCTGGGTAGCTACTCTTAAATTTAACAATTAAGAACAACATCCCCATATAGGTAGTCCTCGACTTATTACCATAATTGAGACTAACATTTCTGTTGCTAAGCGTACTAACTGCATTCTGGCTACTTCTGCTGTCTGCCAGCTGCCTCCAGTTCGGCAGTTTGTTTCTCATCGGCTCACCTTCCATCCTTCCAAGGTCGGTAAAATGAGGACCCAGATTGTTGGGGGCAATATGCTGACTCTGTAAACCGCTTAGAAAGGGCTGTAAAGCACTTTGAAGTGGTATATAAGTGCTATTGCTATTATATGAATTAATGCATCAATCTAAGGCAGTGGGTCTCAACTTTCCTAATGCCACGACCCTTTAATATAGTTCCTCATGTTGTGGTGGCCCCCAACCATAAAATTATTTTATGTTTTCCGTATTTTTTTCAAAAATATGTGTTTTCCGATGGTCTTAGGAGACCCGTGTGAAAGGGTCATTCAACCCCCAAAGGGGTCTTGACCCACAGGTTGTGAACCACTGATCTAAGGCATGAATTTATAATAATAATTCTAAGGCCTTTATTCAACTTTTCTTCAACAATGTATTTTCTATGTTTATTCTTATTTTCTTTATAGTAACACATTTCGATATACTTTGGAAGCTACCAAATCCCTCCGCCAAAAACAAGGAGAAGGACCAATGACTTACTTAAACAAAGGGCAGTTTTATGCCGTAACACTGAGTGAAGCTGGGGACAACAAATGCTTCAGATATCCAATCAGCAAAGTTCGGGTATGGCTAGTCTTGCATGTGTAGTAATTGATAATGTTGGTTGGCTAAAGACTTTTAATATCTGTCCTTGTTTTCATTCTGCTGAAATGTGAATTCAGTTCTAACAACCAATCTCTTAATAGAAGTTTAAGCTCATTCTTTTCCAAAAAGATTGTGAATCAGAAACCTGAAACTGAGTTCTCAATACAAAATATCATGGACCACTATACCTGTCCTGGAATGCTAAATCGTTGTAGGCATTGCCTGTTTCTTTGAAATGTTAAGGTCTTGTTTTGCAATTTAAGATTTCTATATAAAAAAATAAAAAGTGATGATAAGGATTGCTCAAAAGCTACTATAACTAGTGGAAATTGTTCCTTCAAACCCATAGCTTAAAGCAGGGATACCCAAAATTGGCAACTAAAGAAAGTGGACCCAGAATTCCCTATCAAGCATGGCTGGCTGAGAAATTCTGGAAGTTGAAATCCACATGTCTTAAAGTATTAAGACAACAGCATCTCTTCAAATTCAGTAGGGCTGTTTTAAGACCCTTTCCCAGTTTATAGCCATTTTTGTGTATGGATATGTTACTTGTGCCAGTATTGCTTTCAGACTACCTGAAAGCATTAGTTAAAAGGTTATACTAGGAACACAAGCAAATACAAATGTATCTTTCATTGGGTATTGAGAAGACGTCGTTTTTGATACCAAGTAAGTTTTTATGAGTAGGAGGTACCAGAAAAAACCCCATGGGGGGGAGGCAGGTAGCAACCTTGTTCTCTGCTTGTGGGCCAGAAAGAGAAGCTGCCTGTGAGGGAGGCCCACGGAACAAAATAAAGGCGCAATGGGGATCCTCCCCTAAAAGACAGCGAAGAGCCCTTGCCTGGTGCGCCCCCCTCAATACTTTTCACCACTGCTTCGGTGGGTGTGGGTTGGTGGTGGTGGGTCATGTGACTGAGTGTGCATGAGTGATGTCAAGTTGACCATGCCCACTCAGTCACATGCCCATCATCTAGCCACACTCACTGACCCAGTAGTAAAAATTTTCAAAAACCACCCCTGTACATCTCCCTGTCATCAGTTAGTTCAGTAATTCCAGAAGGTATGGAGACTTGAAGAAAGATCTGTAGTGATAATGCTAAAATTCAGGCAGTTTCAGTGGAAGACGATGGTCCTTTACTTCTCCAAGATGCTTGGAGCTCTAAATATGAAATGTGGGTGATGGCAAACCACAGACCACAATCATAATTCTGGTATTCATCTACTAAGTTTCACAAGAAGGAATTATTGTGGTTTGTTATCTGGGAATAGCCAGGCTTCTTTCTAATTTGAATTGGTTGAGTGCCATGTGAAGCTGGCATTTTTGGTCTGTTGGCAGGGCTGGGATTTTTTTTTTCAGTTTTTTTTTTTCTTTTTAGCTATTCCGAGAAATACTAGTCAATTCGATTTAACCATCAGTTCAGTGTTACTATGTGCTTGATATGACACGACTCTAGGACACTAAGGGAAATCCACCACTGTGGATAGCTGGTAATTCAGCAAGGAATTCTTTGTCCAGTGTAATCAATTCAGATGGTAAAAGAATCTATTCCCCAAGGAGGGTGGTGGGCTCTGCTTCACTGGACATGTACAAACAGACCTTAAAAGCAGAGCCTGGGGGATGCTTTAATGTGGATATCTGCAATAAGGAGGTCATAGGACTCAACAGACTTAATTGACTTTTCAATCCATTTCTGTAAGTTGAGGATTGCTTAATTGTTAAGCTTTATGAGTTTCTTCCTCGGTTTCTCTTGACATGGGACCTTAGTTAGTTTAGTTAGTTTACTTTATTGTCATTGCACATGGTACAACGAAATTAAATGCCGTCTTCAGTGTACATTACAATTATAAAAATAAAAACACAAACATACATCCTTTACATTCTATATAATTGAAATTGAAAACCCAATATTGCATTAATATTGCACTATACCCTACAATTCAATATAGTTATTGCCCTGGGATGGAAGCTGTTTTTCAGCCTATTTGTCTTTGTTTTTAATATCCTGTACCATCTGCCAGATGGCAATAGTTCAAACAAAGGGTGCCCAGGATGAGATGGATCTTTAAGAATGTTTTGAAGTTTGTTAAGGCAGGGGGAGCTATAAAGCTCTTCCAAAGAGGGGAGAGGGCAACCAATGATCCTCTGGGCAATGATGTTGACTCTCTGGAGTCTTAAAGATCCATCTCATNTCTGACTGGCCCTGCCCCCATCTATTCTCTGCCTCCCAAGTCCCAGCTGATCAGGAGGGAATGGGGATTTTGCAGTAACCTTCCCCTGGAATGGGGAGAGTATCCTTCCCCTGCCAGGCCCACCAATCCATGCCCACTAATCGGTGGTAAAAAAAATTTGAATCCCGCCACTGATCATCATGAAAAATGTTGCAGACCATGATATCTGGAGGATGCTACATAGGCAATACTGCCCTAGTCCTTATGCAAAATGGTTGTCATTGGAAATGCAGTATTACCCTGTTTCCCTGAAAATAAGACCTCCCCAGATAATAGGCCCAATCAGGCTTTGGGTTGCATGCACTAAAATAAGCCCTCTCCTGAAAATAAGCCCTCCCCAGCAGCAGCCATGAGGTGACCACACTCGCTGCCTCCTGCACCTCAAAAATAATAAGACATCCCTGAAAATAAGGCCAAGTGCTTATTTCGGGAGTCAAAAGAAAATAAGACCCTGTCTTATTTTTGGGGAAACACGGTAAGTTATGAAGAGGAATTTTTATACAAAACTGTAATGAAATGTACACATTGGAATGACTTTAATATTGGTTTAATATCTTCATCTTTGTTTCCAGTTATGGAATACAGAGAAGATCTGTTTTGTTCATTGTTTGTGTCTGGTTTTCAGTGGGATAATAGAGCATACCAATCATTTTTTTAAAAAATTGTTGCATCCTATGTTTTTAAAATTATTAGATTAGTGTTTCGGATGTGATAGCATGCTTTTTTGTATTTTTAAACCGCAGTAAAAACCGGCTTGTGACTATAGTGCCAAGCGATGCCCCCTTTAATACCAGAAGAGCTTACACAAGTGAAGATGAAGCTTGGAAGTCTTATCTGGAAAACCCCTTAACAGCAGCTACTAAAGCTATGATGAGCATCAACGGAGATGAGGACAGTGCTGCTGCTCTGGGATTATTATATGACTATTATAAGGTAGGGAATAAAATGCTGAAAATGGGTTTTTACAGCAAGTAAATCTGTTGCATTTAAATAAATCTGGCTCAGGTTGCATTTCCAGACTCAATCCAAGAGGTTGATGTGAGAATAATTGCTCTGACACCTAAAGGGCAAGGGCATTTTTTTAAACTATGTTTTTTATGAATTGTTGTGAGTCATTTGGAGTCATTATATGAGATACAATCCTGGAAATACATAGAGTAATTAACCAAGGGATATATTTTAGAACTAGTTATAATCTGTCCTTGAAACTGTAGTTTGCTTTCATGTGATCCACAGGCTACCAAAGACCAAATAAAACTGATCTGAAGTTTTAGATCTGGTCATCAATTCTAACTAAGTTGCACCACTATCATTAAGCAGCCCTTAATAGCCTTTAAATAAAGGATTCAAAAGTTTTATGCCCTGATGTTTCAGGTTCCAAGAGATAGAAGATTATTGCCTGTTAACAAAGTGAGTGATAATCAAGAAGACCAGGAGAAAAGGTACAATATCTCTAAATCTGTCTCTCTCTCTTTCTGTGTATACAGTATGTGTGATGGAAGATTTTATCTAAAGGTAAAAGATAAAATTAGCCAAGTTTTAAAAAAAAACCCAGACTGGAAGTGTTGGGAATTTTAGAAGACAATAGATTAAATAATATAAATGCTTCAGGTTTTAAAAAAGAGATTGAATAACCATTTGTCTAAAATGGTATAAGGTTTTCTGCTTGAACAAGCTGTTGGACAAGAAGACCTCCAAGGTCCCTTCCAACTCTGTTATTCTGTTAAGCATTTTCTTAAATGTTAAAATTTTTTTTATATTAGTAAAAAGTTTTCACTGCATTTGCCACTTCCCCCTCCATAAGGGTGGCACATTCAATCACCTCACCCATGGTACAGTGGAACTTCCAATCACAACCGTAACCCATTCCAGGACTTCGGTTGGCACCCAACGACCAGAAGCAAGACTGTGCATGCGCGCACACACAAAAAAAGGCACAGAAGGGGAAATTGTTGCGGCAGGAAAAATCGCTGCAGCTGTGATTGATTGCTATCTGAGGATGTGTTCGTGAACAGAGTGAAACATTTAGCGAATTTTTTGGCCTGCACCTGATTTGGTCATGGTCAGAAGCATTCGTGACCCGAGGTTCCACTGTATCTTGTTCTGAGAAGTGCTCTTCTTTCATATGAGGTCCATGTTCCAGAAGGAACACTCCTGGCTGATTCTTCCACAGCTAAAGAAACAGCATAATTTCATAGTGGAATGATAGACAATGGACAAACTACCCAAAGAGTGGAACTGTTACATTCATGATACCTCAGATGACTTATTGTTATTTCTATACTGCCCTTCATAAATATGTTCCAGGATTGTTTGCAATATTAATCCAAAGCATTATAATCACCAGGACAGCAGCCTGGAGTATTGTTTATAGTTCACCTTTCTTTGAAGGAAGTCAAATTTGACATTCATAATTCTCTCCTTCCACTTAGCCCAAGGTTATGAGTGAATTTCATGACTCAAGGCAAATTCACATGCAGGGTTCCCTATTCTAGTTCAGCACAGATGTCAACAGACATGCTAATAACATTTAATTAAATAAATGATTTGATTGTTTATTTGCTTCTATTTAATCTATTTGCCGCCTCTCAAGATTTGCTTTTACTCGCTGTATCTTTTCCCCTCAGAAACTGCCTTCCCACTAGCGAAACGCAAAGTAACTTGAGCAGCAATGGTGAAAACAGAGTGCAGGTTTTGAAAACGGTGCCAGTAAATCTCTCCGTCAATCAAGAACAGTTGGACACTTCCAAAAGAGAGCAGTTCAGTTCAAATGTATCAGGAAGCCCATCCTCCATTTCTGTGACTGGAGTGATGGTGGTGAAAGCAGAGGAATATACCCCAGTTTACATGACTCCTTCAGTGCATTATGCCAGGGGAGAAAATGAAGAACATCGGGGGGTCATATTTGAACATCCGCATTATGAAGTGCCCAGCATCACAGCCCATTCAACCTATATGAAAGACGATCAACGCAGCACTCCAGATAGTACTTACAGTGATACCTTTAAAGATGAGGGGACAGAGGTATGTCTATTATTTTGGGGAATGTGGGAGCAGAAGGTGTGAGGTTCATTCGTTGTTCACACATTTTTTTTTCATTTTTATCAATGGAAGTCAGGGCAGTTCATTCACTTTATCACCCCAATGTCAGTGATTTAGATATGAGTGAGAAATAAACTTCAAAACAATGGCTTTGGCTAATGGTTATTCCTGAGTTGCCAAGTGGGATAAATTCCATCTTTGGAGGAGATATTCCAAGTGTCCTTTTTTCAAAGGCAGTAGATAACTAGCTAGAGAGTCTTTCAATGCTGTTATAGTAGGATTATCTCTGCAAACGATGCTAATGTCAACATTCCAAGAAATAACCCCAGGTTGGCTTCAAAGCTGACAGCTAATTTTCTTTCAAATGACACACAGAGAGATAATTTTGTTCTATTACATTTTCTAATCTATTACCTTAATGTATTTGAATTTTGATTCTCTTAGAATTTGAACATATTATTTTAACTTTTTAAAAAATTTTAGACTGTTTTGAATTTTGTACGCTGCTTTGTATTTGTAAGTTGTCCTGGAAGGCTTAATGAAATATAGATTGTATACTTTTTAAAAAAGTGAGATTTAGTGTAGTAAGAATCTCTTTTGTACAGAGGTCTGAATATGTTTGGGGAGATTCTTGGGTGAAATTACAGAGATATAACATTGTTAGAATAGTTCCCTTTTGACATTTTTTTTTCTTTTGGGACATTTATTCAAAGTATAAACAATGAAATGTTCCATTATTATGGGACTTGCACAGTAATTATGGCACCAAATGCTAAGATTGAAATAGGCTGTATGAACTCTTGCAAAAAAGCTTCTAAAAGGAGAATACATTGGGAGCCAGATATAAAAGATCTGATAGAAATTATTTATCCAACACCTGGAAAAATTTAGTGATGGAACACAAGCATGTGATGAGCTTAAGCCCATCATTTTCTCCTGGGGAAATCATATTTTGAGAGGCGCGTGTTTCTATAAAAAAATGTTCTCTTCCTGGTTCTGCCAGATGACATTTCTTAGCAGATGGAATCTGGAGCATGCCTTTTTTTGCCAGGCCTAATGGAATGGGTAGACAAAGTCAGATGGAGATGGTCCCTCAAACAATTTGGTCTCATGGAATGAAGTGCATATTGCAGCCAGCTGAATATAAATTGAATCCCAATGCAGCTCAAGGAGAAAAGGTATAACATGCGCCGATCAAGGAGTGCACATAATTGCATGTGCTACCATATTCCATACCAGACCTCACTTCGGAAGGCTCTTCAAGGGCAGACCCATGTAGAGTGAATTGCAATAGTCCATTTGTGAGGTTTTAAAAAAAAATTATTCAAAGTATTTTCGAGTATTCAATTTTGAATACAGGTGTTTCTAAAACTACACTTCTTGCCTCTTTTAAAGTTATCTCGATATTTTGTACCTCATAGGAGTGTTTTAGAAAATATTTTGTCTTTAGATCTCTTGGATTGGATCCAGTCAAGTGGAAATCAGTAGAGCTTAAGTTAGTCGTGATCTTCTGCTCAACTACTCTTGATATATATTATTTCTTCATCTTTCAGAAATTTCGGAGTAGTTCTGTAGGTCCCGAGGAATATATTTATGAACAAACAGCCAAGTAAGTATTGACAATGAGAAAATACTGAAGGCGCACTAGATTTATAAAAGCTTCTGATTGGCTTCAGGCTATACATTTGCATGGAGGGCACAGATTTTGCTTGGGCATTTATCATGAAGAAGAACTTTTTAAACTTGCATTCAGCATACTCAGTCTCTTCTTTTCTTCTCCTCTCTAAATGAAATTCAGAAGAAAAAATATATCTTGTAATGAGATCCAGTAGAAGTACGTTTTATCCATGTAATTTGTGCCACATAACAAAGCGACAGGAAGAATTGGAAAATTTCTTCTCTACATCATTTTGAATGACCAGAGGGAGATATCTATGGTTGGGAGTGTGATTTCTTCATCTTACTGTAATATGTGAATGCAATATAGGTGTATCTTGCACCCAACATTGTTGCTCCCCCTGAAAAGAAAATGGCAAGGATTAGTTCTATCTACATAGTTGCTGGATTCGTACACAAGCAGAAAGTGCTTCACAGGAAATTTTGTAGTTACTAAGGCTAAAATGAAAATGCCTGGCATCTAGCCATGCTTTCTGTGCCATTCAGCCTGAACAAGGCTTCCCTAGATCTTTGGGCTAGAAGGACAGAGGTCGAATAGGGTTCTGATAGCCAGGTATTTGAATTGAGTCCAAATAGCTATTGGCAGGTAGTGCTTTAAAATTGGTGAGATCCTGCAATCACTGCCCCTACTAACCGTCTAGATCAGGGGTAGTCAACCTTTTTATACCTACCGCCCACTTTTGTATCTCTGTTAGTAGTAAAATTTTCTAACCGCCCACCNGAAGCGCTGAAGAGTTTAAAGACAGGTAAGGAGTGCGGGCGGGCAGGTTGGCCCTCCAGAGCACTGTACCGGAACGGTACCCGGTGCTCCGGGCAGGCACCGGTACGCCCGTACCGAGGCGTACCGCCTGCAACCCACCACTGCATTGGAGGCATGACTGGATGATGGAGTTTTAAACAGAGAGCATCAGCCAGTCAGCACTCAACTGGATTCAAATCAACCATGGTAGATGCCAATATTGGAAATACAAATGGTGCCTGGTTGATAATCCTGACTGTGATTGTGGGAACGTCTCATCAAACTTTACATCATATTATGATGGAATGCCTCTTCAGAAGGTTCCCTGGATCTCTGCATGAAATGCATCATCTCAAGGGCACTGATGTCCACTGGCTAAAAGATCTAGATACCCAGCCATAGGCTTAGCTACCCAGTAACTGCTCTCACACATAACTCAGTTTTATACGTAATTTTACTCATCACTCATGCTGTGGGTGTTTAAAATAATTCACTGCTCTGATGTTTTATATTTTGATAGACATTTTATATGTTTTGTGAATTTTTTAATGCATTAATGCTGTATTCTGCTACACCATGGGAAATGTGTGTGCGCATGCACGCACATTTATATTGCTTAACATTTTGGTTAGTGACCATAACCAATTGATGATTGTTTTGTGGTCTTTCTCTAGAGTGTGATCATGGTTGTATTCAGTGAAGATAAAAACCGGGATGAGCAGTTGAAGCACTGGAAATATTGGCATTCACGACAGCACACAGCTAAACAGAGGGTCTTGGACATTGGTGAGTGATGAAGTATCCCCGTGAATGCCTGCCTTCAGAGACGTTTTTTATTACCTTGGAGACTAGCAACTGGAGAACCAATTCACACCCAGAAGTCAATTTTATTCTGAAGTTGGAATAGCCAATTGGCAAACCAAGTCTGGTTTGGTATGCAACAAGGTTGCACTAAAGTATTTTTCACGTTTGGTGCAAACTTACAACATGGGATTTCCTTTTCACCTCTTGAAAACTGTAGCATAATATTTCTGGGAGAGTAGTATTCAGTCTAAGCAAAGACTACATCTTCAAAGCCTAAACTGAATTTATTTTATGTGTTAAATACTTTAGGTGAACTAGTAATATGAAAACAAAGTTAATTCAAAACTGCAGATTCCAGTTTCCAGAATTTCTCATCAGTTTTCTGTCACCAAACTGCCTGCTGAGATAACTTATTCCCTTTCATTACCATGGTAACCAGTAACACACATTCCTATGTATTTTTCCAACTGGCCATGAGATATATACTGCATTTGACATCAGTTTTTAATGCTCCTGGTATCTTCCTGATACACTGGGTTGTATCTCATTAGTAATTCTGGGAGTCCTTGTCCAAGACATTTGGAGATGTCTAAACTAAGGGAGGATATCTTTATTTGATCATCTTTCTTAATCTCACCTTATCCTCTTCTCCCTATTTACTCTTCTGCCATAAAGAATTCTATTCTATTGATTTATTTCCTCCATCTTTCAAAATAATTAACAAAAGATTGACAGTGGTTGGCAGTAAAGATTCATCCGTAAATCATTTTATGCAATATAGTGCTTGTAGCCAATGTTCCCTCTATTTTTTTTTCCACTGTGTGCAGAAAAGTATAGTGTTTGAGCGGCACATTTTCATGCCTGACCACCTGAATATTTTACACAGATGTTTCACAGAGCAATTGATTTATAGGATCCAAATTGGAATGGAGAAAAATGGTTTTGTGTGTCTGTGTGTGTGTGTGTGTGTGTGTGTGTGTGTTTGAGTGAGTGAAGGATCCAGTAAGGGAACTGCGCCTATTTAGAAAA